CCCCCTTACAAAGGAGAGGAAGCTGGAAGGTGGTGCTGACGTCTAACTTTCCACGACAGAAAGGCTGGTTAGGGATTCATGCTCTGTTGCCCCCTGAGTCTCAGAACCTTGGGCAAAAGACAGCAGGAACATGCTTTTCCCATTTGAAGCGGGCTCTGGAGGTGACTAGGGCTGCCCCTAATCTGGGGGCAATTGCACTAGGCCCAGTGGGCAGGCAACACACTTCTCCTGTGACTTCTAACCACACCGTGGGACCTTAGGGATACTGCATTCTTCTGTAGCGGCATCACGGAGGAAGCGGGGGTTGAAGGGGCTAGGGAGAAAAATAAGGATCTTATCTCCTGGTGCTGCGCTTTAATAGCTACCATAGGGAGGGCTGTCTCATGCTCAGCAGCAGATTTCTCCAAGACTGCTGAACACCACAATACATATGCCTCTGAGTGCCACACCTCACAGCTGGACAGTTCACCATAAGCAAAAAATTAGGCCCAAGGTTGGAGGTGAGTTAGCTTTTATCCGATCTGACACTGCTGCCTCCTCACCTGCTTCCAACCAGATCAACCCCCTCCACAAACCACCATTCCTTACTGGCTGCATCTTCCATGGGGAACATGCATAGATACACAGCTATAGCTATTCCCCAGAGACCTTGCTACTCTCTCTTCTCCAGGTCTGGTAAGGTTACAGTGCCAAGGTAACCTGTAGGTATAGAGAGATTTACTTACGCTTTACCAAAAAAAGGAACAACAAAGAGTAGAAGCCTTCCAGTTATTGCAAAACGCTCCAGTGCTCAGAGCTGAGTTTCACACTGTGCAGCAATCCCAGCTATTTTCACCACTGATTCTCACCATGTTCTCTGAGCTTCTGGTTTTGAATCTATAGCATTCAGACCCCAGCTTAAACTTCTGTTTCTTCAAGGGTACTTGGGAGCAGAGACGTCTACTACGTCATTCAGAAGTCAAAACTTTACCCATAAATTAGCAAGTATCAAGACAAGCCGAGAAATACCTCCCAACTCTGCATCACAGGGTCAGGGACAATAGCCCCCATACTCTTCTTCCCTGAAGCGAGACAAGAACTCCATGCACAGCTCCAAGGCACTGCCACAGGTAGAAGCGAGCTTTGCTGAGACTTTTGCAAGGCCTGCACTGGACAAACTGGGGAGAAGATGGCTCCGGGCCAGTGGTACTGTCCATGAAGAGTGATGTTTGAAGGAAGGTACTTTACAACAGCCTCTCTCCCCACACTGCATCTACTCTGCACATGAATAAAGAATGACTCCAGGACTGCCAATCCAGAATCCTTCACCAGAGCTAAAAAGACTGCATGGAGGACCACACAGCCAGGCCAGCTTCTGCTCACCCACTTCCTCTGCAAAATGGGCCAGGTCTCACAATCAAAGAGAGAGCG